CACTCGGTTACCATTATAGTTTAATAAAATATAAAAATATCAATCATATCATGACAAATAAGTGATATCACCATAGTTTAATATAATGGAAAAACACCAACCATATCATAACAAACTTATTATCTTACATTTCTATACATTCATTTCTATACATTTCAGTCTGACATGGGTCTCACTGGGCTAACATCTATCTTTCTCACTAGACTGTAAGCCCCCTGGATGCATGACCTGTGCACTTTCTGTTCTCATTCTGAAAACATACTAAGTTGTACAAATGCTGTTTGTTGAGGATACAAGGATGCCCTTTGTACCAGACTGTAAGTTTCCTATAGTCTGGAGCAAAATCAGATATATCAGAACTTCTCAGTAAATGAGCATTGAATTAAGTTCTGTCAAGGGTTCAGGAATGTCAATACAACAGTCAAGTTTAGAATAACGTCATTTTGAAGTCTGCCTTCTTTTCCATATGTCATGTAGAGTAAGGTGACAGGCCTTATTATGTAGGAAACTATTGATTTTATTACACTAGGTTTTGAATTTGGAAGTATCCATAATTTTGTAAGATAAAAATCTTTTAACTGATCTAAGTAAATAACTTGAGAATGTTAAAAAATCAACCATTGTCAAAGTATGTAGGTGTTTTTGTGTCATAAAATCTAATCTGATAATTAATATGTATAGTATAATACATAAAGTGCCAGCATGAGCCGGCACTAACGAAATGTACCTGGTTGTTAACTGGTTACTACATCAAGGGTTTCTGTGCTCAAAGTGGTAATCCTTATGAAAAAATGTAAGAAAGCCCCCCCCCACTGATGGAGATCAATTAATTGTAAATTAACCAGGTATGGCATAGTTTCACCATCAGAAAAACTGCATGATTCAAACCTAGCTGAAAAAGTATAACCTACAACATAAATGTTGACTTCAAATACAGAAATGTAAATGGTTTGGAATTTATCTGCCCTGTATATGCATTTCCAGAGCCAATGTCACAGCCTCAGAGTAGTTATCCAGTGAGCTTGTATAAAGCTCCAGACTGAATTTAAATTCTTAAAATGTGGCTAAAACTAACCTCACACAGGAAGATAAAGAAAAAAACCCTACACACTGGAATTCCTATTTCAAAGTAGACAGTAAAAGTAAAATTTTAATTAGAATAAATTTAAAAATTAGTATAAAAATTTTAGTCTCACTGTCATAATTGTTAAATTCATCTTGATAAGATTGATTCTTAGAATCACAATAGTTTCAATAGGAATTATGTTACTAAAACAATAAAGAAAATCACGATGCTTTTAATAGATAGCAAATTTATGCAAAAGAGAAAATCCTAATCATCATGTTTTTTCTTACTGATTTTAATAGCCCAATGTTTGCAAAACATACAATATGAAAGTGAGGCAAAATGTGAAATAATGTTTGCGTGTTAATAATCAATATAAGTATAGAAAACAGTAACAATATACATGAAGAGTCCAAAGCAACATATATGTGCTGGTGCCACAATGGTTTAAGACAGAGGTTAACAGTTTTCCTGTAAAGAGCCAGACAGAAAATACCCGGCTTCGTGGACACTGCCGCGTCTGCTGCAACTACGCACTCTGCTGCGGGAGCTTAACACCAGCCACAGACGACGTTTCACAAAGGGGTATGGCTGTGTGCCAATAAAATGTTGCTTATGGATACTGAAGTCTAAATTTCATGTGTCACAAAATATTATCATTATTTAGATTTTTCAACCATTCAAAAATGTAAATACCATGCTTAATTTGCAAGCCATACATAAACTGGCAGCAGGCTGGATGTGCTCTTCGGGACACAGCTTGCCAGTCCTTGGTCCAAGGCACCACGGAACCAGCCTACATATGTGAGACCAAGTACAAATACATGTGCAAGAACAAATCCAATAATATTTTACATAAAGGTTTAAAATATTAACCTCAAAGAGTTACACTGGTATTTGACTTTGCCACCTGTTTATCCTGAGAAATTCATAAAAATAGTTTCTGTTTTAATGTAAAAGGACCACCTTTGGAGTGTGTTTTGGAAATGAATAAATTGTGTTATATATATTTATATATTGATGGAAAGGAAGGAGGAAAAAGATGAGAGGAAAGAAGGAGAAGGAATAGGAGAACCCCTTGAACCTAATATTATTTAAAACTCAAGACTATATACACATTACGAAAACTCAGTTTAAAATTCATACCTTAGGATACCGTATGCTAATTTGTAAGATGATATTTACTTACTTCTAACAATGATATTTCATTGAGAATTAACTTCTCACTTTAGGTGCATAGGTCAGCTAGGCACCAGTTCATATCCTTTATAGCATATTGGGCTTATGGTAGGAAGACAGCTCTTAGAACACTTTAAGCCATATATATAATATATATAGTATGTATATATAATATATATGATTTATAATATGTAAAATACATAATAAATAATGTATTTTATATAAAATATTAAATGTTTATATATTTATTATATGGTATGTATAATATATTATATATAGTATATATATTGTGTGTATATATAAGACTATATGCCATTTCAGATTGTTCACTAATTGCATTTTTGTAACTTTTTTCCCAAGCAGGTAAGTTCTGAGGGAGAAAGAATAATTTCTTATAATACTTCATACTCCACAGTAATTAGCATCATGATTACCAAATATTAGGGCTCAAAAAATTTTTAATGTCTAAACTTTGTTTAAGGAAAAATACTAGCATTTGAAGTTCTATATTAAGGCAAAAATTTAATCCTATGGAATAATTATCAATGGAACAATTATCACATTTCAACTAAAATGTGTTTTATCTGGGCCATGCCTGCAGGTACAGAGAGGTAGAGAAACTGGACCACTCATCTCTCCCCGTCTTCCTGCTGAGATCCAAACCACCCGCACATCCCAACAATGACTTACAACCTGTTCGGGAGTAGGGGCTGAAGGCACACCATCTGCAACTACCAGAAATGATACGGAACTGAAAAAGTGTTAGAATTCAGAGATATGTAACATTAAGAGATACTAAGCTACAAAAGCCTATTCTATGAGTCAACAGATAAGAGTAAATTTAAGTATAACATCTAAATACCCTTACTTCATTCTTCCACAAGCCAGAGAGCCTTCAGAGTCCAGATTTGGAAAATTGCTTCCCCTCTGTTCCCCCAATTACCCAACTGATTGTTTCAGAATATAATTGGTTTTTTATCTTTAATACCATTTTTGTAATGGCCTCTGCTAGGGTCCCATCCTTCCTGTATTTAAAACTTGGACAACTTGGCCTTGATATTGCATTATGGGACATCATAGGAAGAAAAGTGCAAGATGGTGATGAGAAGCGAATCTTTCCCTTCCTTTACAAGAGGAATTTTGTAATCGTCTAACAAAAACAGAACCAGTGGAAGCTGAAGAAGATATTGCAATATGGGGGTCTTGTGTAAAAGCCAATTTTTCCAAGTCAGGCTCTGATCTAAAGGACTGCAATAATAAAATCAACTACCTAACATGAAAAATTACAAATTGTTCTCCAAATTAGAAGACAGTAAAGAAAGCCTGTGTGAACTCTTGTGGAGAAATCTGTAAGGACTAAATCTGAGTACCCTTCTCAGGAGCACAGCCTCATCCATCTCCTGCCTCTCTGGGTGCGGGCTGGATCCTCCGGAGAGAACAGTGGACACTGATTGAAAGGCCTTCAGGGTGAAAAGCCTGTTTGGAAAAGCAGAGCTCGGTAGGGGAGCACTGTTCTGATCTTTTTTCCTTTCCCCATGGCCGACAAGAACAAAAGCAGGAACTGGAACCTGAGAAAAAAACAACTAAACTACCACTGATTTAAACACAAGTCATATTCAAAAAGCGCACATATGCACAAGAAGAAAAGAGAGACCAAAAAAACCGGAGATTGTCAGCCATGGTAGGTAACGAAGAGCTAGAAAGGTTTTGGAGTTCGGTAAATCCATAAAGAGCTCAATGTCCCTTTCTTTGAAATTTTAAGGAACTGAATGTGAGAAAGAGATGACAAGAACATGGTGGGTATCGTAACTGTTAAAGCTTAGTCAAGAACAACAGTGGACTCTATTTCATGTTTAAAGCTACCTTTACAAAATTACTGAATATAATTATTGCTACATTTCGGTGAATTAATAGAGAACTTTACAATCACTAAAATGTACAAAAATATTTTACCCAAAATCCAAATCAGAATAACATATTTTACAATCTGAATACAGAATGGGGCACATTCTTCACCCCATTTATAAAATGAATCTGCAAATCTAAAATTTTAAAAAAATGTCCAACACTCCATCCTGAACAGGGTGTCCATTAAAATGATCAAGCTCCAATGTAATTCGAAATCACTAACCATCATCTTCTTACTCTTCCTTCTGAGTATAAGGTACAACTCTTGCTGGTCTTCAGTGGAACAAAATGTCCTTTATTCATCAAAAAATTTACTAAGCACTTATACAGGGGTAAGGGTATCCACATGTGTGCATCATCATTTTGCCTGCAGAATGCTTTCCAGATCACTGGCATCCTCCCAGATCTGCCAGGTGCCAGGTGAGCCCCTGAGGACAGTTTTAAATTACTCCCCAAGGTCTCCAATTTGTGGCTGAGATTTTGTAATTTCAATTCCCCACCTAGAGTGCTATTCACTAAACACACCTGCCAGCAGAGACATCAATTTAGTTCCTGTATTTGCTGTTTGGGAAAGGATTACTTGGGAAATACCCATTGATCTAGCTCAGGTGTATTCAGATGTAAAGGAAGTAATGTTTAATTAGTCTCTAAAGAAAGAGAGACAAAGTAATCTTTGTAACTGGTCCTCTTAACTGTAGTAGCATTTTCATTAATCTGCCCTTGACCGCCACACTCAAAGACCAACACCCTTACTCATCAACCAATACCCAGTGAATATTTACTGTGATTAAGACTCTTGTGAACTTTTGATCAAACAACAAGAAAAACCTCAGAACTAAATGCAAACCTGATGGCATCCATGGATCAAAAGTTGGTTTGGTCAAGGTGTTCACCTGCTCCCAGTTGAAGTCATCATCTTCAGCTTGTTTATATCCACAGGTGCTATATGGCTCATCAAAGAGGCAACCTCCTAAAATGTAATAAAATGAAAAGTAATGTAAATAACACCAAATCTCTGGAAAAATCTATGATGACGACAAGTAACCATAAACTTACTTGATGCTAACTAAATTCGATTTGACCTTTGTTCTGGAAAGTGGAACTTGAGCCTACTGTACCCTTGCTAAGCACTAGCCTGGTATTAACCATGTCTTGACTACTGTATTATACTGTTCACCACGAAGAACCAATATTTGTAAAATCCAATTCAAAGTAATACCTAAGCAAATTTATAATTCATATTTTCCAGATTCATAGGAATTTGAAATAATTGATCTTGTGTTCAAAACTTTAATAGAACGACCCAAAATGTTCAATGTATTTTCAATAAAAAAGCCATTATAATTTGGCCCCCCAAATTAAAAGAGAAATGTTTTCAGCACAACCCTGGCATAATTGTAGGGAAACAAAATGCACAGAGATCATGGACATTAACTGCAATATATTTTTCTAAGGATTATTCTAAATCAAACTTAGAAACTGGTTTTATATTAATACTTTAGATATTTGGGTTCTCAAAATTAAAAGAGATTATAAATTTGCTTATTGTCCACACTTTTTAAAGGCAAGAAGAAATTATAAATTAAAAACGAAACATGGTAAACATCTGCTAAATTTTGGTGCTAGAAATGAGGCTACTTAATTTTTTTAAAAAGAATAAAATAAAATGCAGCACATACAAAGAAATTCAGCTATTTCAGCGTCCTGTGGCACCCTGATGAGTTTGAGTCCCAACCTACATCCTTAAATGTCTCCTGTTTCCTTGAATTCTTATAGTATTAAATCTTTCCCCCAGTGTTTCACAGTTCAAAAATAAATATTACACTGACCATATCAATTACAGTGTATTATGAAAACTCTGCTATCCATTATGTAAAATGCTATTAATTATATGAATTATAATTACTCGCCAATGGTAAAAATTAAGGGTTTTAGTAAAGAACACACAAAAATATGAGCATATTACACTACCTCTGCAATGTATGCCCTGGCAGCAAGAAGATAAGTAAAAGAGCAACTGCGCAACCTCAGGTCAAACAGATGTTGGAGGTCACCTGGCCAACTGCCATCCAAATGCTTATGTCAGTTCTACAACCTTCCAGACAAACAGACAGCTATGAACAGGTGAGGCACTTAGAATTTTAAAAAGCATCTCTACCATGTGAACCATCCCCCTTTATGAAGGCCCAAACTCTGCTTTTTTAAATGTCTACTCATTTATCTTAGCTCTACCCCCTGAAGAAATAGTAAAAAAAATTCAGCTCTTACACAGGAAAGGTGATTATTTGGAAAGAGTTGTCATGCTCTAAGTCTTCACTTCTCCAGGCAAAACATGCTTTTCTCCCCCCATTTCGTCCTACTGGAATGCACGAAGACACCATCCTGGCAGGTGTTCTCTAAATACTCACAGGTTTATCAGCACTTTTCCTAAAGAAGGACTTCAAGAACTAAATTCATCTGGCTACTCCCCTGGACCTCATGCTCTTTTAGCAGTCTGAGGACAGTGCTGGTACCTTCTGAGCTTCTAGGAGCTTGACCCCCCATCCCCATATGAGCCTAGAATTCCCATCACTGCCATTGAGCCACTTCTCCTCTCCTGTGTAGGTAAGTGACTTTCTGAATGCAAACATAGGACATGCATTTATCTTCACTAAACCCCATCTCCTGTTTTCAGTGCATCACTCCATCCTGTTGAGAGTTTTTAGAATCCTGATTTTGTCATTCAGGTGTTAGCCATTCTTCCTAAGACTTGGGTCATCTGCTAATTTGATAAGCATGCTTCCTGTATCTTCCTCCAAATCACTGATTACTGTTGGAAAGGGCAGAGTCAAGGGACCTCAGACCCTTTTAAAAGGCCTCTTCCAGCTTTCTAACTTTCTCTTAGTTGGTAGCTCCAGGCATGACGGTGAAATTAGCAGCTTTGGATACTGTCTTCTGTAACACACTTAACAGAACCGGTCAATTAAACAATCCCCTGGGAACAGAAACACACTACAAAAATACAGCATCAAGTCAGTATTTCAGCTTGACAGTAAGTGGTAATTTAAACTTCCCTTTCACTCAGTTTTAACAAGTTCAAAGAAACATAGTGGATTTGTTTAAAGGACATAATACTAACAACTTTCCAATTTGGGGTAAGAAATGTTAGAAGACTATGTAAACATGTATGAAAAATATTTTCCCTTGGTTGCAAACCCTAGATTTGATATAGAAAACAGCTTCTGTACTGTAGCAATAAATCCAAACATCGGGTAACACTAATAATGTTCAAGAAAATAACCATGAATTTTGACAGAGAAGGAGCCCGCTCCATGAAAACACAGATAACGTGTTGATGGAAGTCCTGCAGTGAAATCTTCAACAGTGAGAAAGAGCTGTAGGCACCCACAAAACAACTCAAGGCTGGTCAAAGATCTGGTTTATGGAGCAACTCTTGGCTCTGCAGATACAACCAAATATAAAGGGAAGAAATGCACAGCTGACAGCAACTCCGAAAACTAAGCAATGCTGGTGCAGGGATATAATTTTCCAACTACATGCAGCTATTTTTATCACTTGAAAGGACACATAAAAAGTATGATATTGTTCTTTCTGGACCCATGTATGGTTATCAAACCACTAAAAAATGGGACAGACTATGAATTTCCTATTGCCTTAAGCTATATCCCCCTGTATACCGATTTTCAGATCTACTGGCATTCATCCAACAGATGAGAGACCCTAAAATAGCAAAGGTGGTTTATTGAGCTAAATGAGATGAGATTAAGGTAAAAGATATCAGAATTGAAATAACCAATTTGAGAGTGAGCAAATTAAACTTTGGGGTTTTAAAGCAGCTCTGTGTGTGTGCTGGTGGAAGTGAATGTGTTCCAGGGGCAAATGCCTGGCACATCCCCATCCTTCCTCTCCTGGCTTTGTGACTGTAGACAAATCGCTTGGCACTCTGAACTCTGATTTCTCTACTTGTAAAATGAAAATAACATGCATCTCGTGTGGTATTTCTAATCATTCAGTCACACAGCAAATGTAAAGTTAGTGCAACACAATGTCAAGCACATTTAACCATATCACTTATCATTAGTTCTTAAATCCTTCTTACCATATATACCTCATGCAGAAATTACTCTTATGAGTTCATTTCATTGCAAATAGTTGGAATATATAATTGGAAGTTTCAAAGCGTATTTCATACAAAGGTAAAGAGAGCCAAGCATTCCTGCAGCACACTCCTGTGGGCTCCTCTGTGGAGCATGTGGGAGCAAAGAACAGAGTGCTGGCCAGGTTTTTGTAAATGCTGTGGGGCCAGTGAGAATATGATAAGGAAGCAAAGTCTGCTGAAACTCACTGAAATGAATGAGTATTTCCGAAAGTAACTCTTCCTGGCTTTCAGAATAACACGGACAGTTTGCCATCACACACAGGAATGCGATCAGCAGCGGGCTTGACAAGGTTTGCACTGAATTGTCTTACTTGGACTGATGCCCAACAGCTCATGGATGGACTATATTTCTCTGTCAAATTAAAGTAAATTATTTCTCTTTTATGGAGGGAATTCAAGCCTCCATACCAAGTCATATATAAGGTGGAGAAAAGGTGATGAAAGAAGGGTGGGGCAGTGGCTGCATCATTCATATTCTCTCTCTCACACACACTCACGCACGTGTATGTACTCACACTCCTCCATCGGTCCTTAGGAAAGACTTTTCCTTAGCAAAATGTGAATGCAACACACTACAATGTGCTGAGTGAATACTGAACTGTTACGCAAAAGGAAGTATCAGTGAATGTCAAATTCTCAGGCAGTCAACAATAATGGTGACCTCTGTACTGGAATGATGACTGCACGGCCTATTCCAGGATGCTCTCTGCTACACAGTGACATAACAGAACAAATATTAAAAATAAGTTAAAGTTAAAAAGCAAGAAAGGTGAGCAAATAAAAAAGTAAGAATGACATTATACCAGGAATATAGGGAGGACTCAACCTTCACAACCAAGTAATAAAAAATGCCACCAGGTTCATTAACTGGAAGTTAGCCACAAATTTCACTTCGAGTTTGGGGTAGCCAGGGCAAAGAGAAAAATATGATTGATTATATAATTCACAGTATCTATGAGATAATAATATTAATATTAAAACTACGATTAGGGGCTAATATTTACTAAGGATTTGTTTAATCGTGATGTTAACCACATAAGGTAGTTTAATCCTGATGTCAACCATAGAAGATAGATACTATGATCTTCATTTTACAGATACAGAAACTCAGACACATACGGTGGAGCAAAAACAGTCTGTTCAATAAATGGTGTTGGGAACACTGGACAGATATATACAAAATAAATGAAAATAAACTACCAACTTACACCATACACAAGAATAAACTCAAAATAAATAAAAGTTTGAAATGTAAGTTGCAAAACCATAAAAATCCTAGATGAGCCCTGGCTGGTGTGGCTTAGTGGAGTGAGTGTGGGCCTGGGAACCAAAGGATTGAGGTTCGATTCCCAGTCAGGGCACATGCCTGGGTTGCAGGCCAGTTCCTGGCAGGGGACACACCAGAGGCAACCATACATTGATATTTCTCTCCCTCTCTCCTTCCCTTCTCCTCTAAAGATAAATGAATAAGATCCTTTCAAAATTACAGAAAAAATAAAAATAAACAAATAAAATCTTTAAAAGAAAGTTGTTTAAAATCCTAGAAGAAAATATAGAGAGTAAAACTTTAGGCAGTAAAATCTCAGACATCTCTTTTAGAAATATTTTTGCTTATTTATCCCCTCGAGCAAGGGAGACAAAAGAAAAAATAAACAAACTGGACTATATAAAACTGAAAAGCTTTTGCATAGCAAAGGAAACCATCGACAAAATGAAAAGGGAACCCATTGAATGGAAAAACTTATTTGCCAGCAATATATCTAATAAGAAGTTACTCTCCAA